TAAAGTTTTAGAAGGGACTGATTTTCTGGTTCTCCCTTATAAATGACAAATAAAGCCACAATGTAGTGTTGTGCCATATCGGGTGGTGGGGTGGTTTTGTCTGTAAGGATGATTGGTTCTTTTATTCTGTTTGACGATTTGGTTACACCTGTAATTCAATAACAGGGAACCCTGGTGGCATAGTACTTTAATACTCAGCTGTTGGAGGGTCAGTAGTTGTAACCCCCTAGCCACTCCACGGGACAACAACATAGCAGTCTGCTTCTATAAAGATTTGCTGCCTTGTAATCCCTATGAGGTAGTTCCATTCATACAGCCTCCCTAAGCATTGGAATTCCCATGCATTGGCAGTGAGTTGTGACTCAGGTAATCCAACAATGATGAAGCCGGTCCAAAGGAAACCATGTAAATTCTCCAAGGTTATGAAATCAGTAAGAGTGAAATAGGGGCTCAGTCATAGGAACAATTGTGAGGATGGTGCAGGACCAAGACAATGTTTTGTTTTGTTGTGCATAGGATCACTATGGTTGGCACTGACTCAGTGGTACTTAACAACAAAGGGGGCATGAATGCAAACCTGTATGATTCTAAAATTTGTGTTCCCAACCACCCATCTATTCTGTTTCCCATATTAAATCTTATCCAAAAGGTCTTCGATTAAAGGTTTAAATTTAGCTTTTTGCACTTGTTCCCCTGATAGAAGAAGGCAAATAGAAAACCCATTGTTTAGAACTGGATAGAAATTGGTGAGGAATTGATTGATTTTAAGCTGGGGATCCATATCATTCTGGTAGCTCATATTTTACCAGAAATTAGTGGACTGAGACATGAGGTTGAGCTTTGTGAACAATGGATGCGAGATTGAAAGGGGGGGGGGGCTGTTATAAAAACCTTGACCCTTCGCATCCTAGGCACCACTCAGTCACCGAGCATTGTGAAAGCTGCATTGGGGGCAAATGCTCTAAATCCCAACAGAGAGAGACTGAGCAGTCTCTAGCATGTTTCAGGTCCTAAACTAAAAAGTAATTGTTACTTAGAAGTGGATGGGAGGTAACTTGTAGGGCATTTGGTAGGGAGTGGGTGTCTCACAATTAAGTGAGAGAAATGACAGCAGCTTGCCTTCAGCAAGTGGACTCTTGGTTCCTCTTTAAGTGGTGGCGAGGGCGTGGAAGCACTAGCCTCAGTATTAGCCTCTTCTAAGGCACAGTAGTTCCTAGCCTAGCTACTGGCTCCGGGTTAGAATCATAGGTGTTAAGAAAACAGCCATGTCACCTCCTTGAACCAAAATGGATTAAGAGGAAATCTGTTGTTTGTGTTATGAGCATATATTTCTGTTTTGGCATTTTCAAAACCTCCAAGAATTCTGGGATCCTCAAGTAGACTGGTCAGTGGATAAACTTGAGAACCAAAGTTTCCCCCGGTGCTTTTTAATTTCCCTTTCTTGATGTTCTTGAACAATGGCGATGATTCACGTTGGTAAGATCTTTGCAGGCTTTTTCCTCCTCAGAGGACTCCTAGATTTTCTTATTTGCCTGCCCCTCTGGTACCTACGTCACCCAGCCCAACTCGGGCACTCTTCTGCTGGCCTTGGTTATTTGTTTTCCTTAGTGACCATGCAGTCCTAACGATTCCAATCCTATGTTTCTCTGCCCGAGGAAGACAACCCTTTACTGCCCTTTACTGCCTGCACTGCCTGCTTTTTGAGAAAGGGGAATAGGAAACTGCCAGTTTTTTCTTCAAATTTTCTTCCTTCATCTTTTTGCCTAGTTTTAGTTACTGTTTATTCACTGTTTATTATATTTACTGTTGTCTCCCATCTGTTTTATTCCCCACAAGTTTGTCCTATTGGTGGAAGATTGATGAGTGTTTTTGACAGGTGAAATATCCCCTAACGTTGGTGAGAACCAGAAGTCCTGGGAACCTTTCAGGGCACAACGTCCCAGCTTGTGTCTTGTTCTGTCCCATCTTTACCACCTGTATGTGAGTCTCTGCCAACCTCATTCAGTGCACTTCTTGAATGTGAGTCTTTTGATTTTGAAAAAGAGCTATAATAAAGCAAAAAAGTGGGTGAAAAGGTGTTGATTTATTTTTAAGGTTTAAGAAAAACTTGTGTAAAACTCAAATTGTCATCGCTGATTTTTAACTCTCAGTATCCCTATAGGTCAAGAGTAGAACTGCCCTATATGGTTTACGAGTTTTTTGTACGAGTGAACTGCCGCCTCTTTCTCCTGCAGAGCAGCCAGGTGTGTTCGAGCTGCCGACCTTTCGCTTAGTTGGCCCTGCACCTCCAGGGCTCTCTAGCTGCTGCTTAGTGAGAGCTTTGTTTTTCTTTCTTTCTTTTCTTTTCTTTTCTTTTCTTTCCTTTCCTTTTTTTTTTTTTTTTGAGAGAGAGAGAGAGAGCATTTTTTTCATACACCTCAAGCTTCCTTATTTTTTTTTTTATTTCCCGGTGTTTACACAAACTGGTCTACCAACTTTGGGTGGAAGGGCTTTCCCCTTTAGGGAAAACAAAAGAGTTTGTTGTTACTGTTTGTTGTTGTTGTTACTGTTTTGGTCAAGGTACACTTATGAACTGTTTTTTAAATGGTCTTCAGTAGCAAACTTGCATTGGTGTCTTTGCTACTTTTTTCTCTCTGGAACGTTAAATGGATGCAACTGTAAGGTTACCCAGCTTGAAGCTGTGCTAACAGTAAGGTTGCTTAATTAATGCTCATCTTCTTAACTGTCTCTGCAGTAGAAAGTAAATAGCTGTTTAACTTAAGGTCGCTGCTTTGCTCTCCTTATCAGCTTGCTGTAAGAATCTCATGTAGACATTTTGGTTTCACTCAGTTCATTTGTTCTAGAGTACTCTTTAAGCCTCAAACTTTGCATCCTGAGATTTGGTGCGGAACCCCTCACACATTGGAGCTTCTTGAATGAGAGTCCTTGGGGGAGCGAGGAGGGAGTAGTCTTTGAAATTTTAGCTGGTTTGAATAATGGTAATAGGTAATTGTGAAGAGGAGGGAAAGCAGTGGGTTGGGTGGTATTTAATTTGAAGTGTATCTTGGAAGCAGCTTTTATGATCATTCTGCTTGTTTGTGATGACAACTAAAGCTGCATATCATAAAATTTCCTTGATTCTTCAGTTTGGCGAGAATACTTGCTTCCCTATCCAATGGGTGGCAGCAGAGCACACACCATACTCTATTGTACTTTTGATCAACTAGTAGTATATTGGGGAAAGTCTCACCAAGGTTATGAACCGACCTTCGAAAAACAGTGCTGCTTTTAGAGATGGCAGTCAGCTGACGGAGAGAAGATTTTTGGTGGTGGAAGGACTGGCTAGCCAATTTGTGTGCTTGTAAAGAAAAGCGATCTGGGGGATCTGTGGAATTTACCCCCTGGAAGAAATTTTTAGACAGCAAGGTCTCGTGTAGGTAAGCTCTTTCCAGTGCCAATATTAAGAGAAAATTAACACCGTGGTGCATATTCGTTACATAAATTTCACCATTTGACATTTCCAAGGACTCGGTTTCACATTTTTAGACTTGCAACACTTGTAGTCAAAGAGCTAGGCTAGCATAGGGGTGCTTTTGTTTGTTGTTCCACGCACTCTGCCTGCCTATTATTAGTCACTTGGCACATAGGCCCACTTGACTTGACATGGAACCCAGCTTTCCAGTCCTTCTTTCTTGCCAACTTCCATTGGACTCTGGATATGTGACATTGTACTATTAAAGCTGGCATATTGGACTACTGTGACATTATTATGCAAGCTCAGCGATTAGGAGAAGTTTAGACTTTCTGGCAGCCTTCTCAATAGCTTTCTTTGCCTCCACTTGTTCTTCCTTGACACTGGTTATAACTACTGAACTTATGACCCTCAAGGACCTGATCTATAAAGTAACCTCAGGAAGTAGCTTTCTTACAGACTCATTAAATATCAGGTAGAATTTAACATGACATCGTATTTCTGAAGGTGTCTTGGCTCCTAATCAGATCCTTTGTCTGCAAGATGCAAATCACCTTATGTTACATGGATAGCTACTGTAAGAAAGCCCACCTTTTTTTGGATCTGGTCAGCTCAGATTTAGAGCTATTAATTTATTAAGTTGTTACTGGGGTGTGGGTTTAATTGGGGAGCATTGCCATTTGTATACCCATAAGATTGTAGTTTTTTGGTTATTAATGTAAGTTGGTTATTAATGTAAATTCTTAGGTTTTGGGGTTTTTCTTCATGAAAATGACTTGTTTGGCTTTTCAAGAGTAAACTTGGGTTGAGACCAAGAAATTAATATTAAAAGAATATATTTTTCCTCAGTATGTTTCCCATAGATAATTTGTTCAATGTCCTTTTAAATTTTTTTAATTTAAAATATTTTTTTAATGGCCAGACTCTCAATGCCTTGGTCCTTTTAATTAAATTAAAAGTAAATTAAGAGAGAACCAGGTGTGTGTTATATTCTATAACCGGGATATTTGTTTTAATTCCAAGACTCTCCCATTATCAAGGTATTTAAGATGCTAAATTAGTAATTACAAAGTTTCTTGGTGACCCTGGAATTCAAAGCAAACTGAGAGAAGAGTGTGTGGTGTGTGTGTGTGTGTGTGTGTGTGTTTAAACGTGTTAAAGATAGTGGTAATTCATCTAGACTTTGGAGAGAAGTTGAGAAATTCTCAACCTAAGAATTATGCTTTATTTAATTTGTACCTTATTCTGCCATGGACAAGGCTTTCTGTTCAATGCCGTTGTTTGGGCATTCCCTCATCAAAAGCTTCTTTATCTTTGAGAGGATAAGCTATTCCTAGAGAATCCTACTCATTGTTCATTTAAATCATTGAGCTGCTATCATGTTTTGGATACTGTGCCTAGCTTGGAGTATAGTTTGAATAATACTCCTGTACTCTCTGCCTTCCTGGTCATCTCTCTCTCTCGGTCCGTTTACTAATGACAAGCATGAAATTTAACTCTATACTTATGTGGTGCTTGACCCTCTAATGAGTTATTCTTTCTTCCACAGCAATGGCACCAGCATGATATCGTTGATCATTCCTCCCAAAGACCAGATATCACGAGTGGCAAAAATGTTAGCTGATGAGTTTGGAACCGCATCTAATATTAAATCACGAGTAAACCGCCTTTCAGTCCTGGGAGCCATTACATCTGTACAACAAAGACTCAAACTTTATAACAAAGGTAATCTGGAGCTTGGTCATTGCCTCCTCTACTCTGTCTCGGTTCTATTTTCCACTTTGATTCTTTGACCACTCACCGATGCTTCCTCTTCAGCCAACTGGTGTTTAATTTTATCTTAGTTGCTTTGTTTGCTCTTAAGTATATCTGTTGAAAGTTTGGTAATATTTATTGTACTTAAAAGGAGCACCCTGGTGGCATAGTAGTTACATATTGGGGTGCTAACCTCAAAGTCAGCCATTTGAAATCTCCAGCTGCTCTGAAGGAAAAAGCGGACTCTACTTCTGTAAAGACTTAGTCCCGAAAAACCCACAGGGGCAGTTCTACCCTGCCCTATAGGGTCCCTATGTCAGTGTTGACTCAATGGCAGTGAGTTTGGTTTTTGTTTTTAAAAGCATAAATCCTACCTGAAACATCTCTGAAGGAGTTTCAAAATTGGGAGAATTCTGCTTGGGAAATTTAGAAATTCTTATACTCTAAATTATGGCCTAGCTCAGTGGTTCTCAACTTTCCTAATGCTGTGACCCTTTAATACAGTTCCTCATGTTGTGGTGAACCCCACCCCCAACCATAAAGCTATTTTCGTTGCTACTTCATAACTGTAATTTTGCTACTGTTATGAATTGGGTGACCCCTGTGAAAGGGTCGTTCAACCCCCAAAGGGGTTCAACCCACAGGTTGAGAACTGCTGGTCTAGCTTGTCAGGGACCAGAGGTTGTGGGAAATTGGCTGTAGGTTTAAGTAGAGATATTGTTTATGTTCTTTGCAGTACCTCCAAATGGTCTGGTTGTTTACTGTGGAACAATTGTAACAGAAGAAGGAAAGGAAAAGAAAGTCAACATTGACTTTGAGCCTTTTAAACCAATTAATACGTCATTGTATTTGTGTGACAACAAATTCCATACAGAGGTAAGAAGTTCAAGCACAGAACATTTTCATCACCCCAACAAGAAATTTCTCACACACCACAACCAGCCCCATCCAAGCTACCCTAGACTCATTAAGCTACAACTAATCTGCCTTTTGTCTCGGCATTTCCTATAATGGAATCATACAGATCTTTTGTGACTGGTTTTCTTCCTTTAGCATATCGTTTGCAAGGTCCATCCATGTCGTAGCATGCATTAGTGCTTTTTTTCACGCCTGCATATTATTTCATTGATAGACATTTGTGTTTATGAATAATGGCTTTGAACATGCATGTGCAGGTTTTTGTGTAGGCTGGTGCTTTTGTTTCTCTCGAATGTATCTAGGGGTGGAATTGTTGGATTATATGGTGCCCTATGTTTTATTCTTTTGAGGAACTTCCAGACAGTTTCCCAAAGTGGCTCCACTGTTTGTGCCACCAATGATAATACCAATTGCCTCGTGTCCTTCAATACCTGCTATTATTTGCCCTTTTAAAGTTCCAACCATCTCAGTGGGTAGGCCATAGTATCTGGAGGTCTTTGTTTGCATTTTCTCCAAGCTCTGGATTATGTTGATGGTATCCTCTGAAGCGTAAAAGTTTCTTATTTTGATTGAGCCCAATTTCTTTTTCCTTACTATCATATCTAATAAGACTTTGCCTAGCCTGAAATCACAAAGATTTGCTACTGTTTTCTATCTTGAGCTTTGTACTTTTAGCACTCATATTTGGGCCTGTGATTCATTTTGAGCTAATGTTTTTGTTGATGTGAGGACGGCGTCCAACTTCCCTTTTTTTAGTGTGAACCTTCTATCCCAGCCCTGTTTGTTGGAATGGCTATTCTTTATCCCCATTAAATTGACTTGTTACCTTTGTCAAAAAGAAATAGAAGTTGAGTGTTTATTTCTGGAATTCCTAAGTCAGTTTTTATGTAGTTCTAACCCCAGATCATTAGAACAGTTAGTAGTTAGGTCCTTAAGAAAAGCTGTTTCGCAGAGCATTTGTTTTGATGAAGGGATGGGGTACCTTGTGTCCCATATCTTGAGTATGGAGCGCTTTATTGGGGCCTAGAATAGGGGAGGCAACTCAGTGTCATGCAAGTGCAACCCCAACGGAGAGTGCCTCCTTAAAAGTTTGCGGCTTTAAGTGTCTCTTGCTTTGCCCTGATCCTAGGCTTGTTGTTTAACAAATAAAGGTTTTTCTTGAATTTTAAATCTACTACTCTACCAATTTGTTCTTGCCAAATTGCGAATTAAAATGTTAGCACTCCACATGTTCTGTGATGAGACTAGGAAAGGCCATGTTGTGTTAGGAGACAAACCTACTCTTAGCAAAAGTCCTGCTGATATCCAATCTCAATCCTTAGGTTGGAATGGAGGAGGAGGCTATCAAAGACGTTCATTAAAGAATGTGATAATGCCTTTTGCTGGGACATTTGGCCCACTCTTTGAGAGAGCTATTTTTCTGTTTTTAAGTCTTGAATTTTTATGACACCAATCAATCGTTCAGCCTGTTTGAGAGAGAGAAAAGCAGTGAGTTTGGAGAACTAGAGACAAATAGTTACTGCTCTCTTTCCCTGTATACCAATATTTGCCTTCATTTCTTAGCACCTTTAGTTTCTAGCTCATAAACAGTGAATCTTTAATAGCATGACTATTGTGGCTTGGGGGTTTTGTTTTGTTTTGTTTTTTCCCATTTTAACCAAACTTTTGAGTGATGGAGCAAACCACCATATATGATAAACTGTAATGGTGGAAAAGAAATCTCATTAGAGTGACATAAATCAGTCAACATTAGAACAATTGGGAATTCACAGCTGGTTCTTAGTTCAGTCTCCTGCCTTTCA